TGTGTGTGTGTGTGTGTGTGTGTGTGTGTGTGTGTGTGTGTGTGTGTACTGTAATCAGAACAGAACCCTTTGTAACCCTCGCCCTTTATACTGTCTAAGAAAGACTAGGAATGCACACTTTGCTATAAACAGATCATATTGTAAATCAGCTCTCTCTTTCTCCTTCTCCTGTAGGAACCTAGCTGACATGGACAGCGATGGGAAGATGGACAGACAGGAGTTTTCCATCGCTATGAAGCTCATTAAACTCACACTTCAGGGGCGGAACTTACCGTCTGTCCTGCCAATCACCATAAAGCAACCTCCCGTCTCCAGTTCAGCGTCAACCATCCCTTCATCAGCACGTTTTGGTAAAGATTTGTCGGAGGATTTTTACAGCCACAATCCAGTTTCAAAACCACGACATCTCAATTCTTTGTCTCACAACTGTGTCTCAGTAGAAGTGTTGTTTCACAAAGAATAATAACTCATGCATTTTAGTTGTATTTCAAAATGGGATGCTTATGTATTTGAAAAAGAAATAGCTCCTCTCACAAAGTGATCTTCACTCAGTTGAGCTTTGGTAAAAATGGAAGTTTCCCATTTTTAAATTCAACTATAAGTTAGTCTCTCTTCTGAAACGGCCTTCATTGATCAGTTCATGTTTACATGTGTGTGTTTCCTCCTTGCAGGAATGGGTTCTATGCCAAACCTGTCAATCGGTCTGTCATCCATGTCAACTATGTCAGCCATGCCCATCCTAACACCCTTCCCAGCTAACCACTCCATGCACTCCATGCAAACCCTTCTGCCAACGCCAATGACTCTGCCCCTCATCCACTGCCTGGGAAGCTGTGGACTCCCCAACGGCAATGTCAACCTCCTCACCCCACCCTTTGTTCCCAACAATTCAGGTTGGTTCTGCAGTGGAACCATTCCGATTTGCTCCAGGGACAAATACAGCTAGATATTGATTAGTGGATTAGCACCAATTCTTTCCAATTTAACCTGGGATTATAAAAAGTGAATGTGCGCGGAAGATTTTGGATTTTGTTCCAGAGTAACCGAGATATTTCACTGGCACATGTCCCAAAATGAGATTAAATGCAAAAAAGGAGAACATAAACAAAAACGAGCCTGCCAGAACAGCATAGATAAGAGGCTTATGCTATTGATAACTTCTACACATGCAAATAAACTAATTACCATAGCATTACAGCTGGGAACACAGATCCAGGTAAAGTGAGAGGAACACATGTGTTTATGTCTGTTCTCATCTTTTTCCGTGCTGAAAATTGTAGGTGTAAATCTACTGAAAACATTTAGAGGTCCTTGGATGTTGTTGCAGCAGCTCATTGTAGATTCAAACTACAATTCTAATCATAACATGACTTATTACTAAATGGAGATTATGCATTAATACATTAAAATGGGTTACATCCCAGTCTAGTTCTTATGAAGAGATTAGTTGTCACTTAACGTTTAAACCAAGCAACCACCAGGTTCATCTGCTTCATAGCTAACTGAACCAACCGCCAAAGCTAACGTTAGCGAGCTAACATATGCGGTCTTGGAAAAGGAGGAGTGAGCGTAGGGCTATTCAGTTGATTGCAATCTGCAACCACACCGATAAAGCCACCAAATCCTACACACTGTGCCTTTTTAAGTTTGGTGCAGCCTGATTGAGTCGATCACTAGTTTGAAACTAGTCGTTACTAAGAGCTTAGAGGTTAGGAAGGAATAATGAATAGCTTGGTGCAGCCCAATCCTGGTGTGTAATGCTCAGTGTAGCAGGGTCAGTTATTTATTCAGGTCTTGTGCATTTATGGTGCGGTGTTAATGTAACACATGTAAGATGAAAGGGCTGCAGCTTATCCACCCCCTAAGGGTTTCTATTTGACTTGAATGGAATATGGAAGAATCTGAACATAGGCAACTGTATATGCATGTGTCTTGCAGTGTGCAGTAACAGCTGTTTTTACCACCAAGGAGATAAGTCACCACAGTAAAACATTGATATCAGGTGTGGATGCACCTATCGGATGCACACACATACTCACTGAGTCTGTTTTATCTTGTATCTGTATCTTCCTCTCTCACCTCCTCCGTCTGTCCTTTGGCGGCTCTTTTTATTCTCACCCTGTTCGAGATTCCTTTCCGGCTGTGAAATGTGCAACCTAATTAGCGTGACGTTTCTCTCCTATTTGGTGCTCCCTCGATCTTCATCCTTCCTCTCTGAAATGGTGAAAAAGCTTTCCAGACTAAACCCTCTGTGGCGCAGAGTTGCAGAAAGCAGCGATCGGTTTGTTTTTAACCAGATGTCAATAACCTTGCTGCTGGAGCTCTGTGTGCTGCGACTGTAAAGTATGAGGAGATAAGATTAGATGTACACACGTTCAAGGGCAGCTGCACCCTTTACATAGTATGTCAGAGATTGATTGCATATATAAAAAAAAATGCACATGCACACTTGTGTTCACATGCATGCACTAAAGCATTCAGCAGATCTTTCTCATATGTTTGTTAAAAAATGATATTTGACTATTAACCAGCTGCCTCCAACCCTATTTGCAGCGCTCCCTCTCTCTGGCTTTTCCTCTCCCATGGCGTTCTCTCCATCCACCGGCATGTCGAAGGCCAACTCTCTTCTGGACCTTGGATCCAGCAGGTGAGAGTGTAAATAGATTGTCACTGTCAGCTCCCCCAAAATAGAGAATTTTGCTCATTTTGAATGTCCTCTATCAGCACATCAGCACAAGTTCCTCCTGAAACATAAATTTAGAATCAAGCACTCAATTTCCAAGTTCATGGGGAGATGTGACGATTTCTAAAATGCAGCATTTATTATGCAGAGATTTTGAGGGAATGGCTGCTGTTAACACCGGTCTGTGTCGCACACTACCAGCCTATTCGCCCTGTGCTTACGAAGAAGCAGAGCTTTTGCAGGGAAGGGACGAGGATCAGAATGCAGGCAGAGATGAAACCCTTAGATAACAGAGAGAGCAGGAAGGGCAATTTGAAATCAGATTGCAACATTAGGAAGTGGGCTTGTTTAGACTCGCAGACATTAGAGGCAAAGGGCATTCTTACGGGAGGAGGTCACTGTTACTGTGAAGTTTCCATCAAAGCCGACTGGCTTGTGATCCCCTGGCGTTTCCTCTAGACTTTATGACAGAACCTTGCATACTTGCAAAAATGATGAAATTTTCATCAGTCCCAAGAGCTAATGCTAAAAAGATAACACGCTAATGTTAGCATTTCAAATTACTGCTGTATCTATGCATAGAGCTGCTAGCGTGGCTGTAGACTCTTAGTCTTGTTAAAGTTTAGGAAGAATTGTGTTTGTGTGTAAGATGAGGTCTGTAAAACATGTTAGAGATTGGACTGAGCGAGATATATACGCTGTTGTTTAGGTTCTAATAACTTGGGTTGTCCCATTAAATGGTAATAATGTCATATATACAGTACATTATCAGCCGTGAATGTTGCCATATCTCAAAGGGAAGTGGAAATAGGAGACAGCGACTGGAGGGGTTCGCAGTCCTACATCCATGGCACTCAAACTGCCACTGTCATTTGTGTTTTTTTGCACGAAGCACTTTAGGTCTGCCTGGATTAGTTACAGCAGTGGGATGTAATGAGGAGTAAACAAAGAAGAAATCAGAGTCCGGGAGGTGCAGTTTCAGTGACGGCCAGATTCCCTTAAGAAAGACAATAGCATATCTAATATCCTGGATCCCTCACATGGTGTTATGTGTGGTTTTGGGGAAATGAGTAGGAGCAGTGTCTGATTTCATTTTGAATGTATTGTTTTTAAATGGCCCAGTGTTTGTCCTGGCCTCAGGTGTAGGTGGTGGCAAGTATAAAAAAGTAGTGTTGGGGAGTCAAATACCAGTACAGGTTGATCCAGCTGCCATCCACATCACTTTAACATTTCAACTTTCAGCCTTATTTTTGTCCCAGAAGGGCAAATGTTTTTTACAGCAACGCATATAACAATACATGAACAGTACAGTACAGTAAGGGAAAGGAGAGGCGTCCTGAATGCAAGTGGGCTAGAAGTCAAACAACAGCAGTCACTGCTATGCGACTCGCATTTCCAGTGTGCAAAAGCATCTTGTCCTGTTTTGTTTTTTCCCAGAACCATAACAAGTTTTAGTATAAGTGACTTTTACCCTCCTGGTGGCACTAAGTCATTCACGTACGCGCACACACACACACACACATTCACATACACACACTGAAAAATATCCCCAAGGCAGAGGGAGGATCCCGCACTGCATCTCCCATTGTCTCCCTGAACCCTCTTCTATTTCAGCTACAATGACTGAAAAAGGACATTCTTCACAAATGAACATCATCGACCCAGCCTATGCTATTGCTATTCCTGCAGAGGCGTTGTTTACTATAAAAACAGAAGGGCTGATTAGCGTAACCCGAGTGTACAGCGCTGTCTCATTGCAGAGAGTCATTGTCTACGTGGTCGGTTGCTTCCTCTACAGCTAATTAAGAGCTGAGAGATAACACCAGGGAGTCTCGGAGCAATTAGTGGGTTTAAGTCGAGGCTTGAATACAAAGGAGAAAGGGAACGCTGACAATGTAATATTATTTTGTAATTTCCCTTTAGGTGATATCTTGGTGTAACCTCATGCCTTTTTTTGTTTGTTTTTCTCTTCGTCCATAGTTCAAACTCTTCCTCCACCACGTCGCTGGCCAGTAACTCTCCGAAGACGGGTGCAAGCGATTGGGCCGTCCCGCAGGGCGCGAGGCTCAAGTACCGTCAGCAGTTCAACACGCTAGACAAGCTCATGAGTGGCTACTTGTCTGGTAGGTCCCGCACGGACACACGCATACGTACACACTCCAGCCAAAACAAACAGGAGGTTCTCAGGACCGCTTGGTTGCTCATGAGCGGACTTTTGGTTAAAGTTTGACAAAGCGTAGGCCTACTCTGCGTCAGCTTCACTTTACGCACACATGCACTCACGGAACTCTTGTGATTGCTCTTAACCCCGCTTGACGGGACGTAGGCAAACATGTCCACATCAGGTGACGTGATAATTCACTGTGTTATTATTTCTGATGTTATCTTTACTTTGCAGGACCTCAGGTTAGAAATGCGCTGATTGCATCCAACCTGACCCAGACTCAGCTCGCCACCATCTGGTGAGTATAAGGTGTGTGTGTGTGTAGCCAGGTAGCCACATCTCTGGCTGTGTGCCTTTTTAACTTCATACTGGTATCTATTGATCACTAGACAGGCAGAACATGTAGATGCATAATACCATTAAATCAAATTTCTTCCCTTTATGTGAAGCTTAATTCCATGATTTACGGCACAAAACCTTTCCATGAATAGGATTTAATGCCACTTGGTTTATCATTTACCAAAAAAAAACTAAAAATTATCTAAAATCATACCTCTTAATAACTACAGATATACATACTATAAACAGCGATCCAGCTAGCAATACATTTTTTTGTATTTTAGCTTATTTTGTGGTTTATTGAAGCAAAAAAGGCTCTTACGAATCAAACATTCACTACTGGCCCAGCACCAAAAGGCTAGTAAAGGACTTATGAGCCAGGTGTGTCAGTAACATTGCTGCTAATGCATCTAAATGTTGCTCTTTGTCTGCTGGATGAGTAAATAGGCAACTGTTTGCTAAGTCATACACAATCACAACTTGACAGCTTGTCTCGCTGCCTCTAAAGAAGACCGTTATGCTGCTTTAAAATCATGATATTCTCACCAAAGAAAGTTTTTTATCTTTACCGCTTTACGACGTGAGTTGCTATGTTGTGCGTACACAGGTCCTTGGCAGACGTGGACAAGGACGGTCAGCTGCAAGCTGATGAGTTCATTCTAGCCATGCACCTTGTGGACATGGCTAAAACTGGCCGACCGCTACCCCTCACACTGCCTCAAGACATGGTGCCTCCTTCTCTCAGGTAACACACACACAGATTGACATCAATGGATTATTTTATACAGTCATTATTACATTTTCATTATTATCATTTTTTAAATATATTTCAGAGGAGGAATCAAGCCCAGTGAGCTTGTTAATGGAACGGGGCCCTACATAACTCCCTGTTTAATAGACACACCAGAGATAGAACCTGCACTAAAGACCAAGAGCAGTGGTATGGCATGTCCTGCACACAGTTTGTTGTGTTATAATTTGAGTCTTTAGTCTTCCTCTGTGTCATACCTCTCTGTCTGTCTTTTCCTCTCCTTAGTGTCCTTTGAGGACAAGCTGAAGGAGAACTTTGCGCGAGGCAGCGCCGAGCTGGAGAAACGCCGGCTGGCTCTGGAGGAAGAGCGGCGAAAGGAGAGGGAGAGGAGAGAGAGGGAGGAGAGGGAGGCTCATGAAAGGAGGGAGAGGGAGGCAAGGGAGCAGGAAAACCGGAGGAGGCTTGAGGAGGAGAGGCGGAGAGAAATGGAGAGACAGAGGGAGGAGGAGAGGCTGAGAGAGCTGGAGAGGAAGGAGGTGAGCTGGAGAAAATGGCCTCACCTGTGAGATGCCGAACATCTGAACCGCCATGCCTCTGTGATGACCATGTTCCTTTGTGCTTTCAGGCGGCGAAGCAGGAGATGGAGCGCCACCAGAGGGAGGAGTGGGAGCATGGGAAGAGAGAGGAGCTGGGCAGAAGGAAAGAGGGGGAGCAGGAGGAGATCTCTCGACTCAGGGCCAAAAAGAAGAGTCTAGAGTTGGAGCTGCAGGATGTGGTGAGACATTCAGAAATGAGCACTCATAAGAAAGCACTGGGAGCACACTGATACCTCTTGCCTGGTCTCGCAGGGTAACAAGCACAAGCTGATCTCAGACCGTCTCCGTGACGCTCAGAGCAAGAGGTGGATTCTGAAGGCCGAGGTGGATCTCGTCAATCAGAAGAGGGACTCGCGCATCGTAGAGGTCAACGCGTTGCAGCTTCAGTTTGAGGTTAAAGAAATGCGTTTGCTTTAACTTCCTCCCTGTCAAACATTTATTCAATCATTCCCATGAATGTTTGTTCTTTTCTTCATTTTCTGCTCGTATGTATGCCTCTGTGTTTGCCTTAGGACTGGCAGAGGAAGCTCTCCCAGCTGGTCCCAGAACAACACAGGCTGACAGAAAAGCTGCGAATCATCAACCTCAACAAAATCTCCCGTGGGTGACAAACGCCTGTCGCACGACGCACAGGACACCTTGTCGGTCACTGAATTCTCGACACTTGCCTCTGACCTTTTGACATTTCGCCTTGCAGCGGTGACTCTGACCTCGCTGGCCGGGACTGTGACGGAGAAAGGAGGGAACTGCCGGAGGCTGAAGGACCAGCTCGACACTCTGGAGAGGGAGACCACCGACAAACTGGCCCAGATGGAGCAGTACAACAAGGACCTGAAGGTCAGTGATCGGCACAGACTTGTTCAGGATGTGGAGGCTGGTAATGACCTTTTTAGCCCATCTCAACGGAGTTTAGAATATTTATGTTCGATTCAACTCATACTAGCCTAGGAAGAGCCAGGTCAGGCCACTACAGAGTAGTTCAGACCACTCATAGATTATTTTCGGTAGCACAGCTTAGCTTTGAATTGAAGTTTAGGATCACCTACAAAGCCAGACGAGCAGTATTCCCCTGTTTCCAGTCCTTAGACAGCTAGCTAAGCTAATCAACTGGCTCATTCCAAAATGAATGCGCAGACACGAAATTGGTAATTTTCTCATTTGACTCTCTGCAAGAAAGCAAATAAGTTTCCCAATAAAACTATATAATGGATTACACCAATATTAGGAAGTAGAACATTCTTTTTATTGTTTTTCCTTCAGCAATGGTTTATTGGAATAGAATAAAAAAGTGAGAACGCAGCTGTGAAATCTTGTTCAGCGGGTCTTTGAGTTTCACCCCTCAGGAAGGGAAAGAAAACCTTATTGCTGAACGTTATTGCACACATACATACAGACTCGGACGTGCACGCTCGCTGGTAGACAGCCTGAAAATCCAATACCTGTGATGAATGATGTCATATCTTCTTACAACATATCGCCAATCTAATACTAATAGTTGCAGCATCAATAGTTGCTCTCTCTCTCTTTTTTGGTCTCTTCTATTGTTTTCTTTTCTAAACTGCTTTTTTAAAGCTTTTAACACCTTTCCTTCTCTCCTCTGTTTTCCCCCCTCTGCTTCCCTCCAACTGGAAATGTTTCTTCTCGTCTATGTTTTTTCCATTTATTGTGTTTCTTTCTGATGCTTCTTTTCTTTCTGCTTTCCTTTTCTTCTTTTATCCATCTCATAACTCACCTTTGTATTCCTCCTTTTATCTGGAATATCTACCCCACCTCTATTCTCCTCCCACTTTCCTTCCCTCCATCATCACACTGTGTGTTTCATAGCTCGGGGATATGGATGACTGTGTCCTGCGGGGCCTTCTGTCTCTGCTGGCCTGCCTCAGCCAGCTCTTCCTTCTCATCAAGGTTATCATTCTCTCTCCCTCTCTCTCTTTACCTCCCACTGTGTAATCTTTTTCACCCCTCCTCCTTTTTAGTTGTTGTTTTTTTCATCTCACCTCTTGCCTCAATCTTCAATCTTCCTCTCCTTTTCATCCCGTGATGATTCGATCTGTTCGCTCATCCCTGGGACTCATTATTAAATGGCGCTCTGCTTTGGTACCATGTCTTCCCTTTTTTGTTGCGGGTTTTGTTCTAGCCTGTGTTGTTTGTATAAACAGGATGCACCCTGAGGGTAAACCACACACACGGAATGCTTAACCTGCACAATGTATGTGTTAGAAAAGGGAAAGAAAATGAACTCGGCTTGTACATATACACACACATCTGCATGTGTCTGTGAATGGCTGCTGGTGTGTGGACTTATTTTAGATCAGTTTTGCATGTTTGGACATGATTGTATTTGTACTATTGCACCAACAATGTGTATTTTTTCAAACCACCACATACTGTATGTAGGGATGACTTTTGCAACACATCCAAATCTTTCTATGCATTGAATGCAAATGTAATGTACAACTGTGTGTGTCCACTACTTTGGCTTGTTTGTGGTTGGAGCAGAATGTAAGCTTGCACCGACTTGTGTTGTGTTTTGTGTCCGATCACAACACTGTTTACTGTCTTTTATTTCTCTCTAACGCATTGTACATTCTGTACGGCTGCATCAGGAGCTGAGGGAGAAGCAGGTGAGGCAGCAGGCTGTCCTGGACGACCTGCACAGAGTCAAAGAGGAGAAACTGAGGGAGCTGCAGAGGCGCAGGGAGGAGGAGATGGAGAGGAAGAGGAGGGAGGAAGAGGAGGCAGCCAGGTGAGTGTGACTGCAAAATGACTCACACTGTACTTTGCTTGAATCGGCTTTTGTTTCTCAAGATATTTTAGGTGACCTTCATTCCCAGATGAAACGCATTTTCTATGTCGGGCTTTAAAAATGTACTTTCCACAGACAGGCAAAGTTAGAGCAAGAGAGAAGAGAGAAGGAGAAGGAGGAAGAGGAGGCGCGACAAAGGAGGCTTCTGGAGGAGCAGAGGGCCAGACAAAGGGAGGAGGAGGAGAGGGAGGCACAGGCTTGCCTCCAAGCCGCCCAGGAGAAAGCGCAGGAAGAGGAGAGAAGACGGAGAGAGGAGGAGGAGAAGGAGATGAGGAAGAGGGAGGAGGAGCAGGAAAGGAAACGGAAAGAGGAGGAGGAGGAGCAGAGGAGGAGTAGCAGCAAAGAAGAGCAGGAAAGAGGAGAACAACAGCAGGTGTTGGTGGCTCAGCGACCATCCAAGCTGACCACGTATCGAGCTCTGTACTCGTTTGTTGCCCGAAACGCAGACGAGCTGAGTATAGACGCAGACGGCCTTATAGAGGTACGAGACACACTCGCACTGTGTTTGAATCACATATTCACACATTTACCATTAGGGCTGGGAATCACCAGAAGCCCCTCGATACAATATTATCACGTCACAAAACAAACTTATTGCGATTTCCGATATGCTGAGCATTGCGATAACATATAGTTTTGTGGTAATATTTATTAGTTTGTAAAACAATATTTGATGAATAAACACAAAAAAAAAAATTTAATTTGGTGTGATGGATGTCTTTATGTACGATTGCTCTGTAATAGTTATTGTTCCTGACTGCAGCTGGGAAACAGCACGTTTATCATCATCACCGTGTTATGCCTGATTGCCGGTGATTAAGCAGCGTTTTTCATGATGCAGGTGGATGAGCAGACCGTCGGTGAGCCTGGCTGGTTTTGCGGGAGTTACCAGGGAAACAGGGGCTGGTTCCCCCAGAGTTACGCGGAGAAATGTCCGACCCCCTCTACTACCGAGACAACGGCCCCTTCATCGCCTGGAAAATTGTCCTGTCCGCCGCCACCGCCACTTAACATAAGGTAACGGGAAGACACGGGATGGGACGGCCTTTTATAACAGTCATGCTTTGGGCATTGCATGTTCTGCTACCCCTCTCTTGGGTTGCTTTTATTCTTGTGTTGGCTCCTTCCCTAATGGTTTGTCCCTCCTGTTTAACCCAGAGTCCCAGACAAGAAGGTAGCATGTGACAGCACTGTTCCTGCCCGATCGGACGCTTCACAGGTAAAGCTCCACTTGTGTTTACTTTTAACTCCAGGCACACAGTGAATTGGGTCTAACTTAGTTTCCTTAAAAGAAAGCTCCCTCCTAATGGACAGATACACTTTTTGGTGACCTACTCTACATGCAAATTGAAACCCTGTTTTGTTGCTCTGTCAGTTCAGAGATTAGCATTCTACCTCTGGATAGAGTAGCCACGTTTATACAGGAGCAACGTTAGAATAAAAGTTCTCGTAATGTATTTTCAAAAGCACAAGTATGAGCTGTTGGAATATTTAAGGCCTCCCTGTGCTGCCATTTTATCAGATTGAACCTGCTATAATTACTATTTTTTATTTTAATAATGGATCAAATAAATGCTAATGTGAAAGAAGTCACTTGTAATGAAAAACACCCAAAGAATTATACAATTCAGCTCTATGGAGCTTTTTAGCTTCTTTCAGCTCATTGTCTTGGTTTTCCGTCCCGCAACTTTACTGGTTTCGCTCAGTCACACCGCTCTCATCAACATCATTTCCAGCTGTTATATATTCACAGACAAAGTATATTGGCAGCTAAAAAGCCAGATATTACCCTCAGGAGTTGGTGGCAACCAAAACAGAGCTAAAAGGAGAGTGAATATTGGACTTGCTTTCGTCAGGTGACCAAAGACATGACTCTAAATGAATGCTAGTGTTTCTCTATATCTGTTTGCATGTGTAAATAAGCAACTGTTTGATAAACATGTTGCCATTTCAACTTTGTACGGTGATTTTATGTAACGGTTGTGATTACAGCTTGTTGCTCTGTCGGTTTAGTGATGTCTGCCTCCATAGTATATCTGAGCTATAAACGGGCTTTGGCAGGCAACTATCTAGGCCTGGCTTGGAACACGCACTGCTGCTGTCACCAACACACACACACACACACACACACACACACACACACACACGTATACATCTTCAGCAGCATGGCTGTATATTTATAGCTATTCCCTATGAGAGTTCCTCTCTCTGTTTGCCTTTCTGTGGGTCACACAGACATTTACAGATTTCCATCTCCCAATAAATAACATCAGTGTTAGTAGCAGAGACGCTCGCAAGTCATTTTTGGCAAGTCCAAGTTAAGTCTTTGTAGGTCAAGTCTCAAGTCTCTTGTGTTTTGTAATGAAGGTTCTATCATCTACTGCATGCCATCCGGTCTGCTTAGAACAGGGCATAGTTTTATCTAAAGAATTAGCATACAGTTTCAGCAATGCAATATGAAAAAAACACACAATGGAAGCTTTACTGTGGGCTAATAACTATATTTTGCCTCTAAAAATGGCTCAGGTGATCAGAGATATTTTAAGTTGCTTTACATCAGGAATGACTCGCCCAGAGGTCGATTTTATGTTTCTCTTGATTTCATAGAAGAATTGTTTAATTCTAATGTGAAACCGCTGGTTCCCTTCTCATCCCACTCCTCAGTCCTCCGTCCCTCTGTTGGCTCGAGCCGTCTCCTCGTGGTCAGCCACCTCGGAAACGAATCTCAACCTGGCCTCCGGCACGGGCAACGTCATCACTGCAATGCTGAGCTTCTCCCAGGGTGACATCATCGGCGTGCTGCAGCAGAGGGAAGACTGGTGGTTGGGACAGCTCAACGGGACTCAGGGATGGTTCCCCAAAAGCTACGTCACTTTGGAGACGGGAGGCAACACAGAGTACGAGGACACACAAGAGTACACGCACCTCTCTGATGCCAACTTTAAGCTGATCGTAACACTATATTGACTTTGTGTTGTTCCCATTCCAGTGTGGATGCATTTGACACATCTGACTCTGTTCAGCTAGAAGGTAAGAATAGTTTATATGTCTCTACGTTTAATCATGACAACAAGCCAACTGTCGGATATGTTGCTCTGACTTACGCTCTTGTGTTTTATCCAAACCAGAGTATGTTGCTTTGTACACATATGAGAGCCCAGAGACGGGGGACCTGACGTTTGTTGAGGGAGATCTTGTCATGGTGACGGAGAGAGAAGGAGAATGGTGGCGAGGATGCATCGGGGATCGGACCGGGGTTTTCCCCTCCAACTATGTCCGACCTGTTGAACCAGAGGTAACACAGATTTGTGTTTGTAATTTTATTAATTGTATAAAGTCTATTATATATTAAGGGATATTGCAAAGATTAGTCAGCTGTAAACCTTATTTATATATATATATATATATATATATATATATATATATATGTTCTTTAATTTTGAATGCAATTCACTTATTTGTTACTTTACTCCTTAATGTACTGCAACTTTATTAATTTAGGTGTCAAAACCTGGAGCTCCAATCAAAAAGCCTGGTGAGACTCACAAATACTGCACACACACACACACACACACACACGCGCACACACACACACACACACACACACACAAAGACTGTCACAGTCTGCTGATTAACTCTATTATGCTCTTGACATTTACCTGATCTAAATCCACCCTCGGCTATATCTGTTTTGTCAACAGAGATAGCCCAGGCAGTCACCACCACCGCCGTCGGCCCGATGATGCATCAGCTGCATCTTTCTCCAGGGCAACTGATTGTGGTCCTGGCCAAGAACTCCACTGGTTGGTGGCTCGGGGAACTGCAGGTCAGTGTGTGTATATACTATATTTATGTATATATACATCTATAAGAATACAAGAATAATGTTAAAACTTTAAAATGTCATTAACAACGTTTTACAAGAATTAATTTGTCTCTTAATGCTGATGTGCAGTTCAAGGAATGCTAAGAAAATATAAATTAACAATATATAATAATATGAAAAATATCAAATGCTTGATTCATAGATACAAAAGAAACATGTGTTGCAACACGGTGCACAGACAGGTTTAATGTATCATGTGAAAAATGACTCAATGTCAGTAGATTTACCGCTGCTGGTGCTGTCGATGTTTTTGTATCTGCTGACTTGTCGGATCAATGAAGAGCTGGTGAGGTAAGAGGAGTAATAACAGGGTTGTCTATAGGTCGTGCATCTGCAGCAGCAAGAGGTCGATCCTAACTGCCTACTTAGTGCTGATGCAGCCGCTGTAGCTGTTAAAACTCTCAGTGAACAGTTTGACACAGTAATGACTCAAGTTTGCAGCTGGGGGACAGTTCAGACAGGACAGTCACGATTTGAATTAACATTGTTGGAGGATTACCACAGCTTTGTCAAATTGTTCATTACCCTAAGTAAAGAATAAACTGATTTAGATTTGTATTAAGTTCGGTCAAGTAGGATTAGTCATTTCACAGACTTTAGGTTGAGCTTTGGCTTGATTTATGAGTGCAGCGAATATAAATTCACAGTAAAGACCTGTCGCGATTCAGTATAGGTTGTTTTTTTAACTGCTGAGACTCAAATCCGACAAAACTAATTCATCAATTTTAGATTTCAGAATTGAACCAGCAGGCGACTGATTTACTCTCACTGGCTCTTTGCCCTCCAGGCTCGAGGCAAGAAGCGGCAGAGAGGCTGGTTTCATTCCTCTCACGTCAAGCTCCTCGGCCCCTCCAGCAGCAAGTCCTCCCCCTCCCCCCTGCCAGGTGCTGACACACTTTGAACACAGTGATAAATCGGTTCTGTCTTACATGGTCAAGCGGGCACACATTTCTACTTTGACAACGCTGCCAATATGAGTTTCTGTGTCTCTGATTTTGACATTAAACACAAAAATATGCTTTAATGCATGAAACAAGTATGGTACCAAAATGCTATTAAATTACAGTGACTGATTAATCTGGAATGAGTGTATACAATTCAGAGTTGCGTAATGTAGTTTCTGTCATTTTGTGAATTATGGTAAAACTATATTGTTGTGAATTTCACAAATATCCAATTACTGCTCTATTATGTCCAGTAAAACCCCCAAAAAATCTTGGTTTTTGCAATAGATTGATGACATTTAACAAGATTTAGAGTCTACAGCCATGCTAGCAGTTCCGTGAGCTAAATGCTAATGTACAATCCATCCAATAGTTGTCAAGACCTTTCACTTAAAATCCCAAATGTCAACCTCGTGGTGGTGCTAGATGAAAAGTCAAGGGATCACCAAAGTCAGTAGGCTTCATCCTCTGGGGACCCAGAATGTATGTAGAAAAGGTCATAGCTTTCTATCAAACAGTTGTTGAGATAATTCAGTCTGATCCAAAGTGGTGGAGCAACATTGCCATTGCTGGATCCACTCCGCGAGCAAAAATCCAGTAAATTGAACCATCTAATTTATGAACATGCTTAAACTCACATGCTTACAAAACCCCATTTGTGCCTCTGAACCCTCAGTGTGCCAAGTTATTGCAATGTACGACTACACCGCTGCCAATCGGGATGAGCTGAGCTTCTCCAAGGGTCAGCTGATCAGCATCCTGGACAAGACCAACCCTGACTGGTGGAAAGGAGACGCCAATGGGGTCACAGGCCTGCTGCCCACCAATTATGTAAAGATGACAACAGAATCAGACCCCAGTCAGCAATGTGAGTAAACCTCAAGTTTTCTTTCTGCCTTCACGGCTTTATTCACAGAGGGACAATATTTCTCTGTCTACTTGAGAGAAAATCAATAATGCACACATGTAGTTTGAATTATTGTGGGAGTGCGGTTGGGGGGGAAAATAAGACAAATGGAAAATGATAAAACATTTATCAGCTGGAGAAAGAAACTTCTCTCTTGTTGCTGACAATATGATTGGTTGGCTTGGTTCACTGCAGGCACAGTAGATTCCTAGATTAGATTAAAAGAGTTGCTTTCTGTCACACACGGATAATTGTTGAACATGAACCAACTGCACTAAAGAGGCTCAATCTCCACATACTTTGGGTGTGAATTTAAAATCATTCAAAGGTATAGTTTGACGTTTTGGGAACAACGTTTATCCATCTTCTTGCCGAGAATGTCTGTCTGTTATATAAATTAAAGCTAGGGCTAGCCGGCGGTTAGCTTAGCATAAAGACAGGAAGCAGGGAGAAAACCTCTATCCAAAAGTTAAAACTAACATTAACCTGTAACGCTCACTAAATAGAACGCTAGATGTCCACGTTTTCACTCTTTATGTTAAGCTAAGCTAACGGTCTTCTGCTATAGCTTCATACTTAGCGTACAGGTATGAGAGTGGGAATCTAACTCTCGGCAAGAAAGTGAATGAGCATTTTGCCCAAAATGTCTTTCCAACAAATCACTGGGTCACAGAAGAGAAGGGAACAACCACTGATCTGTTTCAAATTAAGAGCACATGTTTTCATTGTAATCGGTCACATTTTGGAAGCTTAATTTGGACTGGGAGATTGATAAGGTAAGTAAAGATAATGTACAATGCACTTTTTCCACTTTGCATACTGTTGTGTGTACAGTACACTGATGATTGCTCTGTTGGGTGTAATTTACTTATTCACTTAGCTGGCCTGATTTCTTTCTTTTCTTTTTAAGTGCCCATTCTTAAGCAAGAGGTGTGTGTTTGAATTAGTATTCATAGCTTGCATGTTCTCCCCACAGCAGTCGATCTCTGTTAACAACAGCGAACGCTCTGGACGTTTAATTAGGATGAACTTGTTAAAGCCGCCGACACAAAACACAATGAAATTTTAATTCTAATGAACTCATACACACCCGAGCACACACGAGGCCTGCGCTTCATCAGAGAGAGAGAGAGAGAGAAAAAGGAAGAAATTACCATCATGCTCCAGCTGATACGAATTAGTAACAACATTTACATTTCCAGGAATACGTTATTAATGCATTTGCATGTAAGAGTCCAGCATTAATATAAAAACTATAATAATGTCTCTCCGTCTCTCCTTCATCTCACTCACCTCCCCCTCCCGCCCCTCCACTTCATCTCTTTTTTTTCTGTTTCCTCTGTAGGACAGTAATGCTGGCTTTCCTCTCTACTCCTTCTCTTCTTTTTCCTCCTCCTCCTCCTCCTCCTCCTCCCCCTCCCCCTTCTGTTTGAGCCAATCTGAATTGCCCTATCGCAACAGGAAGCCCAGCCATCTGCAAGAACAGCCCGTCTCTGCGCTTTCCGCCTCACTCGTTTAGGACTGTGTTGTTCTATGCTTCTCTATGTTTTTGGTCTCTTTTTAAATTTTATTTTGCTTCCTTTACCTTCTCCTCTGTCATTTTCTATAAGGCATTTATTTCTCCCCCTTGTCCCCCTCGCTCTCTCCTCTTCTGTGTTCCCCTTGTTGTTTCTTTAACTAACTAATTAACCGGGGGAGGCAGAGGCAGCTAGATGTGTTTTAGAGGCTTTTTGTCCCTCTGATACAAAAGCATGAAATGTGCAGTTTTGCTAAAGATGAATGGGAATATATTATATCACAAAAGTTTAGTTACATAGTATAATGAAAATAATCTGTAAATATAATCAGACTGAAGTCATTTAGTTTTCTAAAGGCTATGAATTAGTACGACTTCTTCAACAGGGTCACTCATTCTTGCACTAACGACACTAAACCTTGCTAAAAATGGACCAACGTGAAGACTCACTGTTGCTTAATTCACCAATAACCTTTATTGCTGCTTGCTGCCGCGTTGCTCGTACTAAAAAAAACAATTAATTGTGATTTTATTATTCTCTTCTGATGCACTCCATTTATTAATGCTTCCAAGCGATTAAGGTCGACACTCATCCTGTACTGCACTGTGATATCACCAGCAAAAAAAACCTAAAAAAAACTCACAAATATTAGCGTGCCAACTGGTACGAGTAGATTCAGAGATAATGACGCCACACTGCTGACATTCACGTCCAACTTCTGCCAAGTTTGAACCTCAAAGACTACTAACGGAGTCTTCCACTGCTCTTTCCTTTGAGCATTTGCTCCTTTACTCATTCACACCTATGCAATCATTAGGGGTGAGCACCCCACCATGAAAAGTGCTTCACTTTCCTTTAATTCAGTGTCCTCGGTAGCAGCGACCTTAGCGTTAGCATTGCCTGCTATGATCCCTGAGTTCATGTACTGCGACTACAACGTGCCTCACTCTTCTGTCCGTGCATTAAATGTAAATAAAATATAGAGCCGATAATAAATGCAGATTTTAACATGCTCCGTGTGTCGTGTTTCTGACGAGAGTGCTTGCTGTAATTTCCTCACTGTATTGATGATTGACAGAAAAGTATTTGTGTGTGATGCACATGCTTGTGTGTCGCGTGCATGCGTGCATGCATGCATGTTTGCACGTGCGTGCGCCGTAGGGTGCGCTGACCTGATGACGTTGGACACAATGACCCCTCAGGAGAGGAAGAGGCAGGGTTACATCCACGAGCTCATCCAGACCGAGGAGACCTACGTGGAAGACCTGGAGCTGGTTCTAGAGGTACGAACGTACACACACACACACACACACAAACATACAGGACCTGGTGTTTTTCTATAGTGTTTAATTTTTCTGTCTATTTGCATTAGGTCTTCTACAAGCCCATGTCCGAGTCAGGCCGGCTAACAGAAGCTGAGATGGGAGTGATCTTTGTTAACTGGAGGGAGCTGATTATGTGCAACACCAAATTACTCAAGTAGATACCACTAACCACCTTTTATGAAGCATTCTGGGAAATGTTATGTGCATGAGCTTCTTCATTGGAGGTTGTTGTCTAACTATGTTTTAAAGGAAGCAACTGCAAATGATTGAATGATTAAAAGTGATTTAATTGAAAATCCACTGTAAAACAGATTTTGATCTACTAATGAAGATGTAAGAAGAATCATGTTCTACATCATCATCATCCATTGTTTTCCAGAGCGCTGCGTGTCCGTAAAAAGACCGAAGGAGAGAACATGCCGGTTCAGCTGATAGGCGACCTGTTGGCGTCGGAGCTCGCGCACATGCAGCCCTACATCGGCTTCTGCTCCTGCCAGCTCAACGCCGCCGCCCTGCTGCAGAGCAGAACCCACAACCAGCCTGACTTCAAAGACTTCCTCAAGGTACGGGTTGCCGATAATGGATAGTGACAAGAGAGAAACAAAGTGACAAAAACAGACAATAAGATACCTTTTTCTCTCTCACTGTGTGCCTGTCCTGGAGCAGAAGATAGCCACTAACTACCGCTGTAAAGGAATGCCACTGTCCAGCTTCCTGCTCAAGCCCATGCAGAGGATCACGCGCTACCCCCTGCTCATTAAGAACGTATGTGGAAAATATACTCACTGTACGTCTAATTAAAACGCTCCCCCCCCACCCACTACTTTTTTTTCTCCCCTGATATTCATTGTGTGATTCCACTTCTCCCTCCTTTCCTCTTCCCGGTTGGTCAGATCCTGGAGCACACCCCAGACGGTCACGCGGACCGCAGCCCCCTGAGAGAAGCTCTGGAGCGGGCCGAGGAGCTGTGCTCTCAGGTCAACGAGGGGGTCCGGGAGAAGGAGAACTCAGACAGGCTGGAGTGGATACAGAGCCACGTGCAGTGTGACGGACCGATAGAGGTAAACACTTTCAGACATTTTTTTAAGGAGTCTATAAATGTCAATATTTTATCGCTGCAGTAAAGTACAGTTGTAAACATCCTCTACAGTGCGTTTTATGTTGGATGCCACTGTGATGGATTCTGCTCGATTGCTTTGCAATAACTCAGTTTCACGTCTCTTTCACATCAGAATTTATCCTGTTACCAAAACAAATAGATAGATAGCATTAGTAGCATTTTTCCACTAAAGCACTGACTGTACTTGATAGTTTTCGTCCTTTCCTACCTCTCTCCTCAGTCATGCCCGTCTTTAATGTCTTTCAGCACTTGGTCTTCAATTCGCTGACTAATTGCCTCGGGCCTCGCAAGCTGCTCCACAGCGGTCGGCTCTACAAAACCAAAAGCAGCAGGGAGCTGTGGGCTTTCCTCTTCAATGATTTCCTCCTCCTCACGCACAGCGCCAAGTCCTTCTCCTCCTCAGGACCAGACAAGCTATTCAGCCTCAAGACCAGCATACAGCTGAAGATGTACAAAACAGTAAGCGAGAGGCTCGGCGCTGACCGTAGACAGGAATATAAATACCTTTTGTGGTGTTAAAATAGTACATGCGCTGCTTTGATTATTTATGACATACAGCAGGTGAAGTCTTCTTATCATTTTCCTTCTCTGGTCTTCTGTCCATAAGTGATTCATCACTTCATTTTCTTCCCCAGCCACTGTTCCTCAATGAGGTGTTGGTAAAAATGCCAGCAGACCCGTCCAGCGATGAGCCAATCTTCCACGTCTCGCACATCGATCGAGTCTACACACTCAAAACTGAGACCTTGAACGAGAGGTACGCATGCACATGTTAACATTCACAAACTTAATAACCAATCACCTGATCGTATTGTCTCTAAAGGATACATGTATGTACTGTGTCGGTAGGACAACGTGGGTCCAGAAAATCAAAGCAGCATCTGAACAATTCATAGAGACGGAGAAGAAAAAGAGAGAGAAGGCTTACCAAGGTAAACACAGTGAACCTAATGACCATGTGAGTGTGTGTGTGTGTGTGCTGGGAAGTCTGACAATGTACATACACATATTGAATTACACTGAATTAATAACCACATACGTATTCTCAGCACACTGTACAGTAATTATTGTGGTTGAATATATTACAAGACCCTCCCTTGCATTATTGATATTATCTTTGGACCCTTTATTTTGTGAAACTAAAGTTAAGGAAGGAACCAACTGTACTGTGTATTGTGATGGGAAAAAGTACTTTTTTAGATTTGCTTTAATCAATCTAGCAGGCAATGGCTAAAATATAACTTTGTTAAAAGACCCACACCTGCTCTCCCTACCCTCCCTTCAGAAAATTATAATAATTATCCTCCCAGAATAATTTTGTAATCGCCCCGAATTGTATAAGCACCTTTTTTGTCCACACATTAGTCACAGCAGCAGCCATTTCAGCTGCAAAATATGTGATGGGAGTGTTTTGGGCCGACATCTCATGTCTGTGTGTTTTTGTTTTAGCACGTTCCCTGAAGACTAGCGGTATCGGCCGACTGCTGGTAACCGTCACTGAAGCCCAGGAGCTCAAAGCCTGTAAGCCCAACGGTAAGGCCTTGTGAAGGAATGCAGAGCCCACCGCTCCTCCGTTGCCTCTAGTTAATTTAACGACCCATATAACTTCCCTCCAGGTAAGAGCAATCCGTACTGTGAGCTGACGATGGGGGCCCAGTGCTACACGTCCCGACCGATCGCCGACACTCTGAACCCAAAGTGGAACTTCAACTGCCAGTTCTTTGTCAAAGACCTCTACCAGGACATCCTGTGTATCACTGTGTTTGAGAAAGACCAGTTCTCACCAGACGGTCAGTGGATCAGAGACACACAAACAGAATGGATTGTTAGGCTTTTTGTCCAATTTGAACCTGCCTGTGCAGAATGAAGGAAACGCACATAATCACTGGTTGCAAAGCAGACTCCGATGTTTGCTTTTTTAGCTTTTTAAGCGACAGACATTACCCTTTCCATCTTTGGTTTTGGTATGCAATCCTTTTTTTCTGTGTTCTGTCTTTTCGTTCTTTGCTCATCACATATCCTATCTGCAAAAGATCTTTATCTGTTGACATACTGACGTTGGTATTATCCTCAATCAGCCTCGACTAATATTTGAAATCCCTTGAAGACGTGCATTTCTTTGTCATTTTATCAGTTTTACTAAATGACTGTTTTCTGCCTCTTCAGATTTCCTGGGTCGTACTGAAGTTCCCGTGGCCACTATAAAGAAAGAGATGGAGAGCAAAGGTGCAGCGAACCGTCGCCTACTACTGCACGAAGTCCCTACTGGAGAGGTTTGGGTCAAACTAGACCTACAGCTTTACGAGCCAATCAAATGAGGACAACACACAGCCAAATCATTCCCTCAGGGCACTCGCACCACTTATTTTTATAGTAATGAAGAGAAGACATTTTGCATAAACAGCCGCACACATTTATAAGTGCCTATCTGTAGCAGTGCAATCAGTGAAGAACTCTTGATTTTACTGTCACTGCCTTATTCTGCCTTCAGTCAAAAAAGGGTGTTCTTGTTACCAACAAACCAGCTAAAATGTAAAAATATTTTTTACAAATTTGTAAACAATACTATTTTACTCTTCATGGAGGAATACCGCCTGTCCAACATGTTTTCTTTGTTTATATGAAGACGTACGTCCTGTAATACATTCGCCTGCACACTGCCACACGTCCTTGTTATGCCGTCATTTAAAATGCTGCACACTACTGTACAATGTAACGTCCAATGTTAACCCCTTAATCCTGAAAATGGCATGAATAAAATGTGCATACAGAAAAACATTTTCTTTATTGCGGCTGAATGTTTCGCTACTTTGTCAACACATTCCTGGTTTCATGTATTCCTACACGATTAACCCTTTCTAGTACAGTGTCTGGGGGAAGGAATGTGAGTTAGTTAGAAGCGAGCAGAGGTGAAGATTTACGGTTAAAATGGATTTTATTTGGATGCAGACGAGGGCTGAAGTCGTTAACTCGCTGGTTGTTGCCGACGTCCACGTCCGAGCAGCCAGCAGCCGGTCTGATGGCACCTTCCATCTAGTGTGGCAGTTGCACTGATGTGGTATGGTGTGGTGTCGAGCCTGGATGCACAATGTTATTAACATTATTTTAAGTGAATGAAGTGCCGTTGTGCTGCAGCAGTTATCACATTGTCACCGCAGATCCTGCTTTGTTCTAGAAAATATGTTTTGACAATAAAAGTTCTCATAATAATGTATATTTGTACCTGCTGGACTTCTTTCCTTCTGTCGTATCCCCCACTGGAGTGTTTCTGGATGCAGTGACTGGATGATTAGACGAGGCCTGGAGCAGTTTGTTGGTCTGAGACGTCACAGACTCACAAAGAGGAGGATCGCTCTGCACTGGTCTCCTTGTGTATTTACATCCTGAAATAGAAGGGAAATTGGTTAGCTACAATTAGCCGCAATAAGCTACTGGTCATACCAGACCAAGTGAGGCTGTAGCTGCAACACCTCTTGAGTGTATTGAGTTGAGCAAGCTTGCCTTTTATTGCTCATGAATGCAGCTTTTCTTTTGTAACAGGAAGAATGTGTTATTTCTTCTTTCAAAAGTTATATAGTCTCACATTAATTCCCCCAAATTAAAGAGAAAATGCCACTGAGGATATCTCCTCTCAAAGCAAAGCATTCATACAAGTCTTCAATTTCCTTTTAGTTAAAAAAAAAAAGAAAAAGGAAATTACCTGCTTCACAAGAACCGGCTGTTCTCTTTTCCTTCAGTCGTTCATGTAACTGAAGGTACAGTGGGTCCTTTAAGTCAGCTGGACTGAGCTAAAGGAATAGAGCAGTGAAAATAGTGTCAGTAACAGACGCATTCGGAATACTTCAGTATGTCCAAAGCTTCTATATATTAAGTGAAATAAAAATAAATAATCTTCACCTTAAAAAAGTGTGGCTTTTTGATGTGTAGAAGAAACGGATTGTATTCCCTTAGATCATAGGTGTCTAGAAACACACAGCCCTGAAGATGAAATACATTACAGCAGTTAGATAATTACACATCACTTGTGTGAGGTTTTGTGAAGCTGTTTCCAGTCTAAAGCAAGCACAAGCGGATCGTATGGTGAGATCGGCATCACCTTGGTGTTGCAGTGATGGAGGTAGTGCCTGTATAAGCTCTGGCGCCTCTTGACCGCTGCGGGGCTGCAGCTGGACGCGTGTTCCTCCACTCTCCTCTGGAGGGGAAGCCAGACGCGCTCAGTCCAGCGCTTGTGCAGCAGCTCCCTCCTCCTCAGCTCCGTCACGTCTCGCTGGCTCAGAAACCTCTCCAAGTCCTCAATGGAGAAACATTCCAAACAATGTGGGAAGTAAAGACACAAAGTTACAGATTCAAAGTCTCTTTTTGTAGGTAATTAAAATGTAAAAAAGCTGCATTAAACTGCAAATTAAAGAGACTGGAAAACCACATAATTTGGAGAATGTAAGCTCATACAAAACAACAAACATTGTGCTGTCTGTTTTCCAGCTTTCTTACCTTCACTAAACCATTTTCTGTGTCCAGTAAGGGTTGGGTTATTTCCTTCGCCTGTTGATTTTCAGCCTCCATCTTGGCCTAAGTAGTAATACATGCGGTAAAATCATCCACTGTCTTTTTGTGCAGGTCTGAGTTTGGTTGAGTGCAATACCTTCAGTTGTCTGAGGGAGGTGTGAGAGAGCCGGTCCTGTTTGGCTCCCGGCTGTGGCCCGGAGGGTGAGGCCTCATCCCTTGGCCCTGCTCTTACACATTTAGCGGGGCTCCTAGCGGGGCTCCTCGTCCTCGTCGTCCTCGGATGAGACGGGCTCCCTCTGCGGCCTGCAGCGTCCCTCGCATCTGCCCTGCACTCCTGAAAAAAAAAAAGAGCGTTGATCGAGTCTGTGGTCACTCACTACTATCTTCTGTAACTGTCAATAACAGCACATATACTGTAGTGTGGGATCACAATGTACAAGAAAGAAAACCACACAAATTGCAGAGCTCCATGTGGATGATCAACTCTTACAAATCCCAGCTGGAGTTCACAGACAGACCAGACACAATTATGTAGGTGAACAGAAGGCAACAGAGGCCAGCACAGCAGGTACTGACAGATCATGTCACTACCAGGAAACCTGAGCTGCATCTCACTGTTACGTAAACTCATGGGACATGTATGTTGGTGCATGTTTTTAAATGATTTAACACATCAGTCCAAATGTGGCAGCTTCCTCGCTGTGCTTTCTGTTGTGCTTTTCTGAAATAATACCAGTTTAACTCTGGATCTGGATGCTGGGCTGGTTTGTTCATCTGCATGTCATCTGATCCCTGCCGAGCATCCCCCCCCCTATTGTCCAGAGTCAAGAGAGGATAACAGTGGCTACCGTATATCTTTCATGTCAATATAACCTGAAAGCTTTCCATTCATCTTTTCCAAGGCCACTGAGATTCCATGATTGCACATTCAGACATGACACCGTACAGACAGAGGATGAAGAGGAGCAGCCAGGCATTCAGACGAGTAGGCTGCCCAGGGTACACACACTGTTTCTAGGCAGCCTCGTTGACATTTAGAGGCAAGTAATGATTGTTAGTTTTGTTTTTTTTTACCTCTGATTTCAACAGGTTGACAGGAAAAGGTGTGTGGAAGGTGATCACACCACTGGCTGTGTTCACCTTCTTGGGGCCCATCACCTAAATCATGAGGGAATAAAACGGTTTGAGCCATCAGAGGTGACTTGTGCCAGTTTGTGTATGCAAACTGGCACAAGTTAGTACATGCATACACATGTACTAACTTGTGCCAGTTAGTACATGCAAAGTAGTTGCATCGTATTACTCTAACAGTACATTGTGTCTGGTAATGTCAGGATTTACCAGCCCGTGTCACCATAGTAATGTTGTGGTGTCTTACCTTCGTTGACTTGAGGGACGTTTGGGTCCGAAGTTCGTGGGGAAAAAACGGCAGAAATGCGCCAAAATGAACCGAAACTTCTCTGGTTTTGGGGTCAGCGCATCGTCACATAAAACACACGTAACATTTTAAACGTGGGGCGACTGCTAACCTTTGGTTTCCCCTTCAGGCTATTCAACAGAGGCGGTGACTTGGAGAGAGAGAGGGAGGGAGGGGGAGAGCTACTCCTCCACGTGTCCTGCCGTCTGAAGCTTTTTTGTTGCCATGACAAAGACGCACTTCGGCGTGTGCGTGTGTGTGCGTGCGTGTGCGTGTGTACGTATTGAATGTAAATCAATTTCACCCAAATATTCAGTAAATGTAAATTTGTGCTGTTACTAAATCCAACACATTTTAACCGTTGCTTTTATTATTATTTACATATTTAATTTATTTATTCAATACTTTTTACTCAAATTTGTAGTATTAAAATCGAATCAATTATATTACGTGTCACAATTTGTTTAAGTAACCATTGTTCAGAGTTTTTAGAGTGTAACACCCAAATTAATATCTTGACTTTTAGATTTTTTTCTTCCTTTTAAATTGGCAACAACTACAATATCTTAGGCAAGGTGATTGCACGTTGTCTGGCACTCAGGTGTCTCTAGACTAACTTGGAGTTCATCCAGGTAGTAAACTCATGATGGCTATATTTGTACACGCAGAGAAGGTGTCCTCTTTAGGCATGAGAAAGAATCTGTCCTGTAAAAAGCATGTGTTATGTAAGATTAATCTTGGCTCTGGTTTGCATCCAATCACTAATTAGGCTATCCTTGTTTAAAATAATCCAATGAATCATTGATTGCAACTATTTGGTATACTCTACTGGAGCAAAGTGCCCATTTCTGTGAGACACAACATGGTGCTGTAAGTTCAAGGGTTGTAGGTCTACTCATATGGACCTAATACGCCTGTTGACACCTCAGGTGAACTTCAGGCTGCAACTGTCCGACACCTGCGGAGAATGGGACTAGGCCTACTTAATGTTTAGGAATTAGCCGCGTGAAGGCAGGGCAGGGCAGGGCTTGGCCAGATCATAACTTGGGGAGTTCACTGCTTTCCTTCTTTCTCGTTGCCGAGTCCTGGACAGGGGGCAGACCACATGGATTGGTGGACTTCGTTGGCAGCGATTATTGCCCTGCTCTGGATTTTCTGCTTTATAGACGGTAAGAGAATATTTTGTAAAAGGAGATTTGGAAGCGTTTCAGGAACGACGTGGCACCGGTTTACAACCTTATGGCAGAAACTGTCATACATTTATAGCACAAGATATAAGACTACCCATCTCTCTTTATAACATGTTATAATAGTAAGCTGCTCAGAGTGTGATTTGCTGGGTAAAAACAGCATTTTACCTTGCAGTTTTGCTAAGAATTGATAATCAGTTGCCAAAAACCTATGAAAGGATGGCCCACTGAGACATCTTCAGGAAATCAGGACAGTAGTTTCATTTTATACGTGCTTCCAAAATTGAGCTTTATTAGAATAAATGTTGCTGCAGGTGTATAGCAGTGCTGCCCACTACAACCTAGTTGTGTTGCGTAGAGTATATGTTGGTAAGAAGGTCTGCTTTAGTAGACTTTATGAGTCACAAAATGTTTATTTATTGTTTTAATGAGACATTAAACATTTAAAGTATTTTTCTTCTTTGGCATTTATGATGACTTGTTCCAGTAGCCTACGTTATTTTGATAAAAGTACAATACCTGGGGAATATAATCGTAAGGATCTGTTGCAGACTGATTTGTGACATTTTGACTTCCTGAGCTCGCGCCCTCTCGGCTCAAACCGCTTTGCGTGCTAAGGTGATGACCTCCGTCCACACACGGCTGGTGAACGCTTTAATCCAGTGTCAGACGCTGTGTGTAATGGTTGCTGACATTAGCCAAGGGTGTTAAATTAGAGCTGACCCAGATGCCCTCTTATCTCCAGGCAACGCCGTGCTCGAGCTGCGGCTGCTCTTCCACGCGCTGACCAAAGCCGCATGTCACCTGTACCTGGCCCTGCTCCCGCTGCGCCGGGCCGTCACCCACTTCACGGACTGCGCGCGGTACCTGGTCAACCATGCCCAGCAAACCCCCGCTCCGCAGGGAGGCAGCTCCCTCTACCACCAGGGCCAGCCGCCGGCCAAGAAGGGCACGCTGCACTTCCTGGAGGGCGTGTGCGTGGTGTGCGAGACGGTGCCCAACCTGATGGGCGCCGCGCTGAGCCTGGGCGCCGCCTTCTGCCACATGCTGCAGGGCGGCTTCTACGTCCTGGCGGCCACGCTGCGCACCATCCAGGTCAACCTGTTCTCCCAAATGAACGGCGAGAAGGATCGGTGGGACAAAGAGCGCCACAGAGCCAAAGAGGGCGAGAAAAAGCTAAATTCTAGAGTGTTGGAATACATCTCGGTGTTTTGCCAAGACCCTGTCAGCGCTTTACGCATCAAGGTTGACGTACCACCTGTGTATAGATAATGTTCCCTCCATGTAGGCCTAAAACGATATCCTGCTGAATTGGCACATATGAGGCCTTGGTCTAACTGCTGAGGCTTTACAGGTGCAGGCAGTGGGTCGATTGGTTTGCAGACGTGACAGGAGGTTGAACTTTAAACTCTGGGTTTCACTCACTGTTGTTGAGGGAATAGTACAAACAGAATCAGAGAATACTTTATAACTATGTGTGGGAAAACAACAATCTATGGTGCGTTTTGTTACTTTTATTGAGATGTAACTAAGTTCAAATAAATGTCTCAAACAAAGATTTGTTATGATATTTGGTACAGTATTAAGATTTGTATTGGTACAATGTTTATACAATCAAGAGTCATAATTCAGTGTTTACTATTTAATTGCACTTACTATGCCAGCAATCACGTTTGTTTTAAAGTGCTCTATTCATTCTCTTTTAGACATGTCAGCCTTGCCAAATAACAATAAATCTGCAGGACACAAACATACTAACAATGCAACTGATTAAAATACAGTTATAGTTCATTATCTTTAGTGCATCAGTCATACATACTGTGAGCCTTTTCTTCTTCAACTAATTCTGATTATAGGCATCAAATGGAATCAGGAATACCGTCGCAGGTCAGCTCTTTAGTACGGGATGACATCAAGGACACAGAGAGTGGGGGGGGGGGGGGGTAGCAGACGTTCAAGAGTGGAACGCTGCCAGATTAAGTTTGTGCACTGGTGTCGAGGATGCAGAGTTAAAGGTGCAGCATTGCTACCGATGGCTGCATTAAGGCACGGAGGGAAGGAGGAGTGGAAAGGGTCAGGCGGGGCTAAACAGGACGGTGAGCTGATACTGAAGATGGATCTGTTCCAGTGGAGGCTAAAGTTTTGCGTCAGGTGTAGTCTGGAGCATCTGGGGAGGGATTTTCCCGCCTACAGTGAGAGGAAAAGAAAAAAAAATCCCTTAGGCTGCTGACGGTTGGTGCGGTAAACACATAAACCAAATCCTAAACCCATGGTGAGGACAGTGAGGTTAACGAGGTCACAATGTTCGTCTTTATCACAAAATCAGTTGTATTTGAAGTAAGCCGACTCACAAAACATGTCGTCGATTCTTCTGACAGCTGCTTTGTTCACTCTGTACTCATTCTGCTCAGACCTGCGACGAGAAATCAGACGGAGAATCTTACAAACGTTGGCATTAGGAACACAGACAGCTTCTCAACCACCACAGAAAATGAGCTTAGAACCAAACAGATTTGCCGAAAGCTAATCTCATTACTCACGCCTTCAACTTCGTCAAGGCCTCCAGCCTCCGCAGGGCCGACACAACGTTCTTTTGCGTGTCGGACGAAAGGGCTTCATAGGTGTGAAGTTCACCTGAAACACACACACACACACACACACACACAATGATGGGGATCGATTTGCTGATATGAGTTTAACAGCTGGAGATTGTTTCTAGGGGTCAGAGGTCACTTTGTTTCACCTGAGAGGATGAGCTTTGTAGCCAGGTTTCGCACAGCAGGTAGCAACTGTTTCTCGGTGAACACGTGAACTCCATTATCACAGAGGTACCTGAACATCACCTGGACATAAAAACACACCCGATCAAACAGGAGGACATAAACCGCCTATTTCTACTATTAAAATCTGTGTCTAAAATAGTAACTTTGTGAGGAAACCTGCTACAGTATATATAAAATCGGCAATACTTTCATTCTGCAGTCTGCTTATGAGCTAAATTCAGAGAAATTACAGCCCTGTAAAATAAAGCGCTCCTGATTTATATTTTCAACATGAAGGTGTCAATTCTGTTTCAATGCCTGCTCCACACTACCAGGAATAACGTTTTTAAATTCTGAATTATTTATTTATATTTATTCATTCATTTTTGTTGACCTAAAGTACAAAAAAAAAAAAAAAAAAAACTACCGGAATCAACATAAAAATAAGTTCAATTGCATAATGTAAACTACCTCAGAGTTGCCAAAACCCCCCCCAACTCCCAGAACAAAAGCAGAGGTCATGATGTCAGAGGTAGCTACGGCCATGTCAGCATAATGTGCGTAGTGCGTTATCTCAATCAGGCGAGGCAAAAGTCAAACGACCTGATAAGAGTCTACGAAGGGTTGGAGAAGTGCCTGCAGGAAGGATAGCACCTCCAGCCCCGCGTCTGACACCGTCACTTCCTGTTCACTGATGTGGACCGCTCCACATTTCCTCAGGAGGACGCATGCCTCCTCAAAGTCCTGATTAAGGGAAAGACAGGAAACAGGCAGATACACACAATATCAATAACAATCCAACAAGTGGATTTTTTGTTTTGACCAGGTAACAAGAAGATAATCATGACAGTGGAGAGTATTTTGGTTTTCCTGGGCAGCTTTTTCACATATGTAGCCTCTCCAAAGACTACAAAATGACTCCCAATGTGTCTTGCAAATGCAGACTCATCTACCTAACCCGAGTTTCTACGTTAATAAATATATACGCCTAAACATGCCCAGGTTGTGAGAGGCAGAGCTGTGATCATGTTTGCGCCACATATATTATCACCAGGGTTCAACAGGACAACAGCCCTCCTTGCGGTCTCTGTCCCGAGATGCCCGAGGGAGGCTGGTGAGGTTGTTACCTGAGACGACTTCCCAGGGACGAAGATGAATTCGTTGGAGAAGACGTCTCGTAGGAAGCAAAAGAAGGCGAAGAGCTCATCTGCGAACGGAACGGCGGATCACAAGAAGGCAAGAGGAAAATATAGATCAGTAAATGTCACGGTGTGTTATTTGAGAAATATATATCTTGTAGAACCCGACCTCTCTGCACTGTCTTTGCGACGTGTATGGCTGTTGCGAGCAGGGCGGGACGCACAAAAATATGCAGGGACTGATTCCTGTAGGCTGCCATCATCAGCACCGCCACCGCCGTCTTGATCACATCCTCCTCCGGGTTGACCGGACGTTTCCTCTCGCGCTCTTCCTCCTGAACCAGGTAGACACGCCCCGCTTCACGGCGAGCTATGGAGCGATGAAGAGCCACGGCGGACGACATCACATCCGGGTCAGGGACTTGTCCTGGAGAAAACGGCATCCATATTGTCATTGTGTCAGCCTCAGAGTAGTTTTGTAATGTATTTGTACATTTGCATGTGTGTATTTGCAGACACACCAGACCTGTAAAGTGAGGCGGTTCAGTGGGGTCCTCTTAAGGTAAGTTACTTAAAGTGCAATAATCCACTGAAGATCTCCTAAGTGAATCCGAACGCTTGTGACAACTTGCATTCGTCTAATCTACCTCAGACCGGGTCGAAGGAGCCTTCAGTATCCCGAGGTAAGATGCTGATGGATCCAACTTACTTACTTTTCTGCATTAAGTCTATCTGGTTCACTTGCAATGCACTATGCAAACGCCACCTACTGGTCATTCAAGGGATGTGAAAATAAAGCTTAAAAAAAAAAAAAAAAAAAAAAAGGCCCACTAAACAAAGAGCACTCATCTTAAATCACATGCTCCCGCTGGATGCAGCTGCATTCGTGCAACATTTAGCACTAAAAAGACACAATATTAACAGCATATATATAGAAATCCATCTATCTTCTTCACCCACCAGGCCAGTTCAGGCGAGCCCCGAAGTCCAGCGCCAGCTTCCTGAGCCAGAGGGTTTTCTCTGTGAGCCGATGCCACGGCAGGCCCTGCACGGTTAAGACTGCGGTAGGAGCCTGGAGCAACAGGCAGGCCATCAGAGACCAAGGGCTGATCAGAGTGCCCTCCTCCTGGATTCGTACCATCAGATGAGCCAGCGAGCTCACACAGGCCTGAGTATCTGCACTGGGCTTCTGAGGAAGATCTCTGTGAATAGATATTAAAAAGGGAGAGGGGGAGGGAGTGAGGAAGATGAATGGGGGAGATGCATGACTACAGGTATATGTTGGAGGGTTAATAAATGACTTAAAGAGGAGTTTCAAGTGTACAAATGATTACACTTTGATTCTGTATTTTAGACTGAATCCTCTATGGGAGGACTTGTATTTTCTACCTGGGTGCGAGGTTGTACCGGCAGCGGTTTATCTTGCTCCGACACAATTGTCGGACTGACATGGGGCGTCCAAAGTTCACATGCATGCTGCCGTAATTGTTCTGGAGCACTTTGCTAGCCTTCAGCAGACCCTGCGGAGAAAGAGCCAGGCTGGGAGTGAATCACGAGCAAGCAGTAATCACCTTTACTCATGTGCGAACCCTTCTGACCTGCACTTATGAGGTACTGAGGTTAGAGACAGAATAATATTGTTTGCAAATATGCTAAATGATTTTTACATACTGTAACAAACACATCGGAAAAGAGAGAGGCAGGCTTAATGAGGCACTTCAACCCAGTTAACCGTCACAATAAACAGTAATATCGCAGTGAATGCTGGAAGGAGGTAAGGCTTCTTGGACGGAGTTGATTGTGTTGATTGAAGCGAGTAGCGTGACCAGGACGTACCGTGGTGCTTTCTTTGGGTTTGGGGACACCCAGTAGCTCGTGGGCGAGCAGCGACTCCTCCAGCACTCGGTCGTAGCTGATACTGATGGGGACCAACTTGATGTCATACACCTCGCCTTTAAAGTAGGGCTCCAGCACCATGTGCATCATACCTGCAGACACGTGCAAGTACTTTAGAATTGTGTCCCGTTTTCAAAACGGCAATGCATGGGTGCAATAGTCGGTGGCCACAGGAAAATTACGGCCAACTGGATTGGAAACATACGGCCTTCAGATCAACCTAAATACACTGTAGCACACAGCTGCAGCAGCAGGCAATATCTACTCCTGCACACAATGATGTAACAAAAGTTGGAACAATGAATATGAAACAAAATAACTTGTTGAGATGGACTCGTACAAGGAAATCAGTGAAGAAAAGACAATCTTTCTCATTTGTACGGTCTATTATTAAGCAACGAGGCGTCCTGACAGAGACACTCTTACCCTGGAACACACACAAAGCGCTGACGTGACACTTACCTAACTTGGGCATCAGGGACTTCAGTGTGCGACTTCGCAGGCCTTCCACATAAAACTCCAAAGGTGCATATCCCTTCTACAGAAAACACATGGTTGGAGACACTCTTTACAGATAGTCAAATACAGCAGCTGGTGGACTGAGGAATACTTGAACAAGCTGAAGCCATTTCCAAAAAGACAGTTTGAGTTTGTTACGGCTGATGTTTTGCATCTTACTTTGACAATGGTTCTGACATATTCCGACAGCACTGCCCAGTACAGTTTGTCAGAGCCGATGGCACGTCGGATAAAGAAAGCTCCCGAGCGGCGAAATATCTCTCCAAACATCTTCATCCCTGCAAGAGCTTTACAGTGGAGAAAAACAGAGAAACAAATGGAGGGAGGGAGGGAGGAAGAGAGAAAGAGAAAGAGAAAGAGAAAGAGTGAGCATCATGAAAACATTTTACATCAAGCAGAGGTGTTGTAATGCAACTCTACATGATCTATAATATCCTGTTCTTTTGATTAAAATAGATACTTGCGAAGCCCTGCAGCAACTACAGGCATCGGGATGTCGTAGGTGAACAGGATGTAGGAGATGACCATGAAGTCCACATAGCTCCTGTGATTGGGCAGCAGGATCACAGGACTCTCCCCGACAGCTTTTCGGAGCTGCATGGGACAGACGACGGAGAAATCTAAAGCTGTATCAGTAGCAGCCTCTTGGTAGTCTTTGAACCCTTGATAGAATATTACTTATCAAGTGCTAGTTTTCATAAGATGTCATATGTTGTGTATATCATATTAGTCAGTCTCAATAAAGAGCAAGCCACTATTTCATACATTTAAACACATTTAAATATGCTGAAACATTTTATATGTTAAGGTTCACTTTAGTTGTTTAAAAAATGTAATGTGGATGAGCTACTGTATTTGTATATGAGATAGAACAGTTATTTAGAAGCTGTACATTGTAGTGTGTACAGTGGACACTGTCCTTCACTGGCTGTATGAAACGGGTGTATATCTGGTATTGTGCTGTTGTTTCTAAACACAGTATGGATTTGGTCCTGACCGCGTCGAGTCCTTCCATGTTGACATGGACGCCGGTGAAGAGTCTCTTCAACACCTTGGTGAGTACGTAGGACAGCAGCCTGATGAAGCCCAGCTGCAGGTTCTGAGACATTTCGTCCAAAATCACAGAGGCCTCCTCTCGCACCTCCTCCAGCGACGACCCCGTCTCGGCGGCGATCTGAGGGAAAAGACTCCATATTGATGAAGCAATACTGTAAAAACTCTTTGTTGCATCTTTTTTTTTTTTTTTTTTTTTAAAGACACCATCCCACCTCCTCGACCACATAGCGGAGATACTGGGACTCCAGCACGGCTTTGGGGAGGTCAGCAGCGGTGCAGGTCGGGCCTCCTTTGTAAGGGCTGGGGGTGAAGTCCCTGAGGGCATGGCAAAGATCACTGCTGCACCTCTTCTCCTTCAATATATCCACAAACTCCTCCTCATTTTCCCGACCTGCTCTGCCTGAATCCCTATACTGGAGGGGAGGAAGTCATTGTTGTGTTAAAAGCATTACAGTGACGTTTGATGTTTGACAACTTTTAATAGAATAGGAACACAGAAACATGGTTGACTTGACTCAAGTATGTGAGACGAAAGGAAGAGAATATAAAACATTTTGGGAAGTTACTGGCTGAACCTTTGATTGAAATATGAAACATCTTGTGTCCAGCAGTAAAAAATAAAGATGTGCATATTCATAGATTCTGGATTTTTCAATGAGAGAAAGGGACTCGAAGTAATTTTAACATATTAAAACACAAATTGTTAATCCAAACACTTGTCCTATTTGTTTTAAGACATGTCTGAAGGAGATCTTTAAATACAAAAGGAGCATTTTTATCTAACTTGGCTACACACTGAAACAACACACTGCCTCCTTATCTGCTCTTATTTGTACTATGATCCTCTAATGTCGGTTGCTAGTGACCTATTAAGCAACATTGCTCAACTATGTTTTACGGTCAGCCAAAGTTCCAGCAGCTGGACAGCTATATTTATAGCAACAATAGCCTCAGCTTGAAGACAAGCAAACACATCTAAAGTCTTTCGCGCGTTCATTCGCGATGTCAGCGCTTGCACACTTTAAAATGTACAACTTTGAAAGGGGAACTGAGCTCGCGCTGTGCACACGAACGAGCGACAGCGCGGTTTGACACAGAAGGTGTTGTTGTGAATGCAAACGGGCTCGTCGACGGCTCTCTTACCGTGTTCGTCATGCTTCACAGGAACAAGCGCAGAGCTCGCAGGTGGCTGTCCTCATCCACTTTCGTTTCCAGTACTTGAAGGGCCCCCCTGCAAGACTCCCTGCGTGGAGAGCAGCAGCCACACGGGGCCAGAGCCAATCAGCGGTGTCGCTGGGTTTTAGAAACTCCTCCTGCTGTTGAAAAGTGCAGCCCTTTGCTCTAAATAACCCCACAGTATTGTGCACGACCTAAGAGTCCAAACAAGCACATGCCCGAGGCTTAGGTAGCGTGTCCATCCATCTATCCATCCAACTATCCATCCATCTATCCATCCAACT